TGAAACTGATATTTCAATTTTGGAGAGTTCTTCACATTAAGCCCCTGGGACTTTTTCAAAAAAAGTCTCCAAATTTATTGATTAAATTTTGTTGTTGAATATTGCAAAGGACGTTTATGAGAATATTGCATGTCTCATTTTCGTTGACATCCCCAATTTTTCGATAATTGGAAAAAGAATTTTAAAACATCAAAATTGGAGATAGAGATGTTTGTCTCAATTTCTTTTGAAAAATGAGTAGTTTTTGCATAATTTCCAATTGACATGAATAAAATTTCTTTTTCCCAAAACCGTTCAAAATTTTTTCTTTAATTTTCTTCACTCGTGAATAAGAGACTGTAAAAAAGATGGTTCTAGTCCCTTTTTCAGGTATCGTTCAGTTTTTGGAAAATGTTTCAAAAAACATTTTAAAACAAAATTGTTAGAGATTTTGCCTCATACAAAGTCTGTTGCACAAAATTAGCTCCTCAAAAAAGGTTAAGTACAATCTTTTGTAAAAAAAAAAAAAAAAAACTCTTAGTTTTTTCATATTTTGCGATTGAAAATTACAAAAAAACATATGCAATAAGGAACTGGAAGACATATGGGGCTAGTCTCATTTTCAGGTCTTGCTAATTTTTTTCGAAAATTGCAAAAAACATTTCAAAACTATAAAATTAAAGATAGAGATTTTTACCCCAAAGTCTGTAAAAAATGAGCACTTTAAAAAAAAAATCATGAATTATTCGTTTTTTAAACAAGTAGTTTTTGTGTAATTTCTGCTTGAAATTAATAAACTATATACAGGTTTCACACCAACTACGAGCCACAAGAATAATTGAATGAAAAATAATTAATATAATTTTAATTTACTATAGAAAATGCCAATATTAATATTGTTTTTATTTTCTCTCTTTTTACTTTTTACTCAATTTGTATTCCCAATGTGTTAATGTATTTCTTTTTAAGCAATCTGCAATGCTTAATAGAAATATCACAACAATGCAGCATCGATAATTAAGAATTGTTGTCGAACATCGAGATTGTTGGCGGTGATAAAGATATAGCTGTTTCATTATGTCCAGCTGGTGGTGTGGTAACTCAAGATCGAGAGCCAGTACTTCTGTTTGCAATGAGTGGTGCAGTAATTTTTTATAAATAATTCCTCAAAATGCCCGGTTAGGTACGTTGCATATCATTTATTATCATCTGATTCCTAAAAAAATTCATTGCGTATTGAATAAAAGAAAAACAATGAAACGCTATCAGAATGACGAAAGGCAACTCAGGAGTGACCAGCCAGAATTTTCATAATTATTTTGATCATCATCATGAACTGAAAGGTGTTTAGGTTTAACAGCCTGTTCCATTAGTAATGCAGTATTTCTGGTAGTTAGTCTTCCAGGTATTCCTGCTGTTGCCAATTTCGTGGTCTTCAGTGTCTGTTCCCTGCTGGTTTATATTTCCATATTAGTTTTGGAGTCTCAGAAATCTCATATGTGATGCTTGTATTTTTTTTGTTTGTCTCTTTCATTATCCATGTTTCAGAGCCATACTATAGGTTTGTGTTATCCATGTCTCAGAGCTATAGGTTTAGCCATTATATTATAAATTTTTAGTTTTGTTTTTGCGTCCATGTCTCTGCCAAAGTGTTGTTTAATTGTTCCAGAAATTCTGTTCTATTTATTCAGTTTCTAAGTCCTACTGGGCGTGATTAAATAAATTTGACCACTTTTTCCACAATTTCTGCATTTATTACAATTTTTGCTCTCTTCTGTTCTTTGCCTTGCCGTGCCATAACTTTTGTTTTTTGAACTGACATTTTTATAGAATATTTCTGGACCTCTTTTCTCAGTTCAAAAACTGCTCTTCGTAGATACATTATTTTGTTGTCAATTGCAAATATTATAATTACTCTATTGATATTATTAGCCAAGCAAATGCACATAGCTTTGAGAACTCTGTGCTTGGAACCACGCGTTGCTTGTTTCAGTAAAATTTGCTGCGAATACTGTATCAGTCAAATGTAATCCTCTTTCATTTGTCGAAGCAAGAAATGATTGCTATTCCTGACTATTGAACAGAATGTAGATGCATCACAGCCTCTTTCTTTGAATTGGATGTCATCAATTAATTGTAGCTGAGGTTTTAGTAGCCACAAAATGAAATACTTCAATGTAACGTTGCCGTTTCCAATAACTGAGAAAGTTTGTGCAGTTGAAGTACCATTAGTTTTGGTCTGTAGCAACGTAAGGATTAATTCTGTTGCGTAGTGAGAAGGTTATGAAAATTTCTTTCAACAAAACAGTAATTTACAAAAGCATTAAGTAAAATTGATATTTAATAAAGGCAAATCATTATACTCTGAAATACTATAAGAGAAGAAAATACAATCCCAGTTAAGAAATATTTCCTAGAAAAATCAATATTATAAATCTATATTTGGGTGACAAATTTAATAATGTAACATGGGGTTACTTCGCTCCAGGTGCATTAAAACTTTCATTGGCTTGTAAGTATAATCTGAGCAGCTGTATCACTATGTAGGAATTAATTTTCGGTGTCAAAGCACATTCTGAGTATTGACAGATGTTTCTTCACATTGGTAAAAAGTGTCAGATTTCTGCCAGCTGAAAGCAAGGTTTGTGTTCAGGAGAAAAAGTCATTAAAAATCATTTAAAAACACTGTAAACTGAAGACAATCTAAGGATAAATTGTGCTTATTTTAAGAATTCATTAACTGTGTCTCCATATGTTTTAGTTCCGTGTTAATTGAGTACAAGAAAGCAATTTTTGTAAGAAGTTATACGTTTCCCGTGTGGACATGCATTGCTCCACAACAAAAGTGGGGCCAATCCCCTCCTTCAAATATTGTTGTTGAATTTCTGAGTCAGGAGAGAAAGAACTGCATGAAATGTATTAACTCTTTTTTTCCAATTAACAGTCTTACTTTTACATGCTTAATACTACTTAATATTTTTTGCCTATTAGGTCAAAGGACATATCATGGTGTGCCAAGATAGTGTCAAAAACTTATCTGGACTGAGCATGACGTAATCTGGATAGCATGGTCGTATCCATGGGGGAGTGAGTACTGCATTTAAGTGCATTATTTTGATTTCACCATGCCCAAATGGGTGATTTTTGGTTGTAACAACTTCTCCAGAGCAACTAAAATTAAAAATTTGAATTATCGTGGTTTTCAACCACCTGGTGACATTCAGGAGATACGGATTCTTGCCTGTAGACACAATGATAAGTTTAATATTAAAAACAGTTCTGGGGCATGTCTTCCTTTCAATACCGACTTAAAATGCCTTTGCTGAATATTAGTATTAGAACTGTTACATGAACGAACAATGCTAATAACAATTTATTTCTATTACTCAGTTAATAATTTTGAAAATTAATAATATTGATTTTATTATCTAGCGCAAATTTGTTCAATTCATTTTAAACAAAATGATTTCATGGTCCCCCTGGAACAAAAATTATTGGGTTACAATCCTGAAAGATCTAGAAATCTTAAAGCAGATGCAATACCTATCGAAAAGTTTCCAAGAGAAATAAAGAATTCAGACAATTCTGTGCAAAGAAATGAAAGGGTGTAGAAAAGAATGCATGAAATTGCTAAAGAAATGCTAGACGACAATTCAGAGGAGAGCCTGACTATTAACAACTCAGATGAGTGCAATAGTAAAATTCCTGAAATGTGAGAATTATTTTTGTTTCTGGTACTTTTAAAAAACAAGAAAACCTAGACAGGATTTGAAAGTGCAAATTTTTTTAAAATAAGAGCAAATAATTCACAAAAAGATATATTTTTAAAAAATCAAATTTCTGCCTTAGAAATAGATAATAAAATTGAAAATAGAAATTGAGAACAGAAAATGAATCTTTAAACTATTAAGGAAAGACACCTACAGTACAAACTTTGAGTACAGACTGTACAAACATGAGTACAAATTTTATTTAAAATTTTTACTTCAGGTCAAATTAACATGCTACTTAATCCTCAACAAAAGATTATTTGTTGGCCCCCACAAGATATTCCCTCAGCAATTACACTAAGTGGAAGTGCTAAAGCGTACAGATATTTAAGGAGGGGAAAATATCCTTTTCATGCCATCTACCCTTCAAAAGTGGGCTTTATCCTTTAATGTGAAGGAAGATCTACTAGTAGATGTTTGAAAAATAATTAAAGAAAAAGCAATAATTTTACCACCTCTCCATTTATTAGTATCTCCAGCTAATTTCATAAAATTTCAATTTCAATTATATGTATAGATAGGAAAGACGAGAAGAAAGTTGGGCCTCATTCCAAGAGCCAAAGTGTAATGATAAGGAGATTTGTTGGACGATGGAAACAACGTATTTGGTATGGGTATTATAATGACAATTATATTCGAAATAATCGGAAAAACTTTTTCATGCAGGTTACATTGTTGCATTGACTTTGCTGTTGTTGCATTGCTCAATAACATTGCAGTCATATGTGACATGGGACTGGATAATATAAAATTTTGGAAAGACTGGTTTATACACTGTAAAAAAGTACTTTATTCTCCATCCTGTGAATGAAGATATGAAAGTACATTTTTCCTAATGCATCTCACCTCTTGAAACTCTTATGAAATTATTTTCTTGATAATGGATATTTTTATGATGGGAAACAAATAGATTAAAGTAGCTTCAAGCAACTTTTGACAGCATCTATGAAAGACCTGTAGATTGCTCACCCTTATCACCTACAAGTCAAAGATTCAGAGAGACAAAAGGTACGTCCCATAGCACAATTTTTTTCAGAAAGTTTCTAAGGCAATTGAAAGATCTGGAGACAAAAAATGGGATTGGAAAGATACAACAAGGTTTTTGAAAACTTCAGTGGCTACGGATGTACAAATCTTCAGCTACCCTTTGGTATGGAAAACTATCTCTTAAAAGATATGAATTCTATATTTAATTCTAAATCAAAAAGAGTCTTTGTAACACATGCACAATAACATTGCAATGTCGTATGTAAAGTTTAATGTCAGTAAAATTGGAATATAAATGCTGAACTCTGTTTTCTTCACTGTAAATTTGCTCCCTATGTGACGTCACGCACTGGGACACCTGGAGGGGGAAGACATGCATAAGCACACCATATACCCTGTAATAGATAATATTCAATATTTTTTGGTTCATACATAACAGATTATTCTTACTTCGATTCTAAAGAGAATTGAATTTCCTATTGCAATCAAGGTCATTCAATCCTTTTTTTAAATATAAAAATTCATCTCTTAACTGTTATTTTTGAAGGCTGGTGCAAAGTATCCCCATCCTATGCTAATTTTACTCCACATTTTTAGAAATTAGATATAAAAGCACAAGTAAATTTTGTGGCATATAGTAACATCAATAGATACTCCTAACAATAACTAATAAAATTATTAAACTGAAAAATTCTACAAAAATGTCCTTTAACTCCCTCTAGAATCCTACCTCAAAAAAAAAGTTAAGTAAAGTAACTCCATGTTACAGTAATATAAAAGTAAAGAATACATTTAATTCCATTATCAAAAGTAAGTAAAGTTGTAAGTATGAGGAATTACTTATACACAAGCTCCAACGTTTTCAACGTGATGCACAATGATTTGATAAGTATAAATATGAACAGCCAAACTGGGAATAGGTCTGAAAATTGTTGATAAGCTTCGATAATTCCAAAATTGAAAATATAATTTAAACTACGGGACCCAGCAAAGGTTCTGCCCTTCATCTTCCTTTCTCTCCCCCCCTCCCACTCCTCTCAGCAAAAATGAAATAGAAAGTTCAAAAATATCTCATCCTGTAGATTACGGTGTGAGAATAGTTTCTTTTGAGGCCTTGGCATCAATATTTTAGTTTTTAATGCCCTAGAATGCATGGTTGGAAAGGTGTACGAAATTTCAGGACATCAGGGTCATCCTGAGCAAGATAGTCTGCTACTGCCATTAGGGCACTTTGGAATAGAACGTAAACTACAGCACCAGTTTGATTTTGGCACTGTCTCATCCATAAGACACACATGCAAACCCACATAGCATTCTTTGTATACTGTTGAGCAGAGACAGTGCCCATCTGTAGGAGTTTCGGCAGGTTAGAAAGAGGCCAGCTGATAGCACTCCACCCTGGGCATTAGATTAGAGCATTGAAGGACTAAATTCTCATTCAAATTTTTAAAGAACTGACATTTTACACACATTTATGGTGAAAATGTTATTTTCCTTCTTTCTTGTTGTTGGTACCATAGCACACTGGCACTACCCTACAAGCTGCCACAGGTTTATAGTATGCAAGTACATACCTAGTAACAACATTTAGGGTAGGTATATTTTTGCAATAACATCAATTATAAAGAGGTATACTTTATTATGAAATCACTGTAACATGTCAACTTCAAATGTATTCAACCTGTTCATGAACATATCTACCCATAACAATGTAACAAGATACCATGTAATAATAAAAAATGAGGCCCCTTAAAGCTACTAACAGTCTTACACAACCATTTTTAACTTTGCAATTAGACAATTCCTGAAAGACGCAGTCCAAACTTTGTGGTTGCAGCCAAAAGAACCACAATTCCAACGAGACCAAAAGCACCTCGTGCACGTTTCTTTGGATCTGCAAATATACACAAAACAAAATTAAAATGGAGTAAATTAATTTAATAAGAATTTAATTGTTCCCATCCTGATCAATTTTAATTAAATAATGCCTCGTATGCCTTTTAACACTCAAATTTGAGGAATTTAATCCTAAGATTTAAAATTTTCACAGAAAACTAAATGCAATCTGGAAGGATAAAAATTGCAACTATTGTAAAGGTGTACTCTAGTTTAGATTGTTGAAATTGCAATTTCTCTTCATGCACCTTTATTCACATTTTCTTCATGAACTCAGAATCATTACCAGGAATTAATTTCCTGGTAAGAATAAATTTCTCCACGAAGATTTAAAAAACTGTTCTTTCAAAACAAATTAATAGAAAATACATTCCTCTATTCTTTCAGAGTCATATCTGCATTATTTCCGACAAAAGCACAAACTTTTATGGACAGGATCTTTATTTGCACAAGATTTCCACCCTCGAAAGCAATAATTAGGGAAGTGAATATTCTCAGTATCTTTAAGTTAAACATAGTTCCACATAAAAAAAAATTTTGCTTCAATTGTTTTGTAGATCAGTTTTGAGAAATTCTGTAACTTTGATGGACTTTAAAATAAATGCAGTGTCTGTTCACAGCAACATTTTTAATGTTATATTGCTGCAAGAATTGATTACTAAAGAATTAAAGTCATTTATGCACAAAGACAACTTACAAACAAGACCCTACTTTACAGGCAGACAGCTTAAAAGAAACTTTATACCTCCTGTGTAATATCCTGTTGCATATGCAATTCTACCCAGAAGGTACACACTTCCTCCCACTGCAGAGGCTACTGGCCACTCCAAACCTCCCAGTAGAAGTAGTGTTAAGAATTGGGGATAGTTCTCCAAACTGAAATAAGAAGTGAAACATTATTAACTAAAGCTAGGAAGTTTCTAAAATTGTGTGGTATTGTTCTGAAACAAAAAATCTTGGTATGGCAAAGTAATGTATCTGAGATAATTAATTAATTAATTAATTAATTAATTGTGAAGTTCCTTTATGATACAACCAGGCATAAACAAAAGCTTTTAGAAAACTGATGGTAGAAGTCAGTGAAGTAAAATTATTAGAGATATCAAGTAAATACACAATCGGAAAACAATTAAATGGAAAGATGACTCGAATGAGAAAATGCATTCCCTTGCATACCTGCCTTTCAGATAAATATATTAAGTGTGAATGTGACAAAAAAAAAAAATTTTGCCCATCATATCATGTGATGGGGAAAGATCTTTTTTGACATACAAGAAGCTGAAGATGGGCAAAAAAATTTCAATGTCATTGCAAAATATGTTTCTTTGTAACAAACTCTGCACATTTTAAACATTTCTGAGTATATTTAAAAATTTATGTATCATATTTGCACGAGTATTTTAGGGCTACAAGCTTGCCTAATAATAACTACACATCAGATTTATAGGCATGCTTATTTTACCCTTTTCTCAACAATAATTAAAAACACATTACAGGACTTCACTAGGTACCACATCTACAGAGCATAAAGTACCTATTTCAGCATAAGAGCCTAAAAATGCTTATTTATCCATTATTAATAGCATTAATTTCTTCACCATATACAAGCTTGCATCATAATTGAAAGGTTACAAGTGTAGTCAATAATGTTTCTTAGCACTCTGGATGTTATCGCAAGCATTTCCAGGCCTCTTATTAGCGAATGTCTCAAATTACAATCGAACCTAGTTATCTATGTTCACTTTGTAGAATTATTTTCACTTCATGTGTTTGAAAAATTGATCAATTTAGATCTCTCAGTTTGTGAAGGAGTTTAATTGTGTGTGATTCAAATGCTGAGATGCCGCAAACTAAAAGCAATAGAAGTGCCCTTATTTGACATAGGTTAAACCAATTCAATTGCTTTTCAACAGATTGGCAAGTCATATCTAATTAGTTATGCTCCAAACAGAAAAGCAAGCATTATATTGAAATTCAGCAAATGTAGAAATTGCCAAGAACATAAATTTGCATCTTTGGTACAAATGACATTACTTGTCACTTCTCTGTGCTACCAAGTTTCATGGGAGAAAATAATGCCATTTAGACCAGAACATCCTTACCTAAATTAAAACAAATTTACGCAATGTGAACATCAGATGAAAAATAAAGTCATGCAAACAAGTATTATTGCCTCATTCCACCTCTGATTTGAAAGAAAATCAGTTCTTTGTCGACTTCTGTCAAATTCATTGCAGCAAATCTGTTTCTTCATAGACAACTCTTGGAAAAAATGATTGACATTCTAGATGAGTCTATTTAAAGAAGAAGTGTAAGTGAAGATTCTTACATCTAGTTTAGCAGCGAAGAGAATACAAATGTCTGTAGAAGATACATTACAAATTAAATTTAGTAAATTAAAGGTGTTGTCTGGTATCAAAAAGTTATTTTGCTAATGAACGTTTCGATAACGTAGCAATCTTCCTCCGAGCTTGCAGTTTCTGCGCCAAAAACAAAGTTTTGATACCAGACAACACCTTTAATTTACTGTATTTAATTATTAGAAGGAATATCTAACCAGCTATCTAATTAAAGTACATTGCAAATTTAATTGTTGAGAAATTAGGTCCAAATAAGGTATCTATGTCTTTTGTTACAACTTACTTCTCCTGCAACTATCTCCAGTGCCACATGAGAGTTGTGAAAGAAGTATGAAAATTACCCAAAATTTAAAAAAATCTGATTTATGCAAGGTTCCAATGAGAGTAGATTTTTGTGAATGAAATTCATACATACCGCATCTCCAGAATCATATCACACAATGGGGAACCTGGCTTCAAGGCAATATTGTTAACATTTGCACAAGGTTCAGTTGTCAACATGCTTACAGATGTTGAATAGGAACTTTTTTTCAAAGTCATTTCATATTTTGGTGGGTAATACAGCTGAACTTCAAGAGTCGGACAGACATAATATGAATGTTTGGGAGTAACTGTATGGGTACGAGTGTTGGGTACACAAGTTCTTGGGGGGTAAATAAACTCTAAACAGTTCCTAGAAATATGGGGCAGAAAGTGGGACTGAAGCTGAAATTTGTTTCAAATAAAAATCAGAATTATCACCAAAAAACAATTGTGAAAAATGAAAACTTCCAATAAGTGAAAAATTCCAATGGGTGAAACCTCAGAAGACAACACATCAAGATGACCGCAAATTGTTCCCAAGCTGAAATATGAACCATTTAATCATTGTAAAATGATTTTAAGCAAGAAAAGAGTACCAGCCTCAAACTTTCAAAGAGGTATTGGTTGTGTATTGTGAGGCAATTTATGATCCTTAACTTTATTTCAGACTTCAAAGAGAAATTTATATCATTTTAAATGTTTGTTGATCTCTTCTCGATTAAATTATATTTCAACATTTACATCTTTATTTTTGTTCTTTTGATTATAATATAATAATACCTATATAATACATAAATACTATATTTGTAATGGAACAGTTTGGCATTAAATTTAAAATGCTCTGAAAAATTATTTTATCTTCATTTATGATGTCTATTTAAGAAAGTATTATGCCAATTTTCAACTTTCAAGAAGTCTAAAAATCCACAGTCTAGTAAGAACAATCATAGTCCAAGATGAGCATTCCTTTTCCTGAAACAAATTTTCAGATTTTCCATTATATTATGTTTTTCCTGGCAAAATTGCAGTGTGTTTCACACTATTTCAAAAAATATGTTAAATAAAAGCAAGACTCAAGTATGGGTTGTTAATTTACGAGCTCTCTATTTTCAAAAAGGCCTGAAAAAGACAAATTGAACAATATTTGCTTACAATTAATAATTGTGGCAAAAAAATAAAATTATACCCAAGTTTAAGGAATGAAATCTGGTTTAACAACTCTGAAATCTGGCATAAATACTCTGTCTTCTAAATATTCTTCAAAAAAATCCGGATTTTCCCCAGACTTTTCCAGGTCAATGAAATGTTTAAGAAAATAACGAATCTTAAATTATATATTTGGACACAATGAATTACTGATTATGTAAAATAGGAGTTGGTTGAGGTAAGCTCTTGCTTAACAGACTTCCAAAACGAGAGGAAAAAATTAGTTGCCAGACAATGGTTAAATTAAAAATGGATGACAAGTTACTATGCTTAATGAAATGAAAAACTTACTAGTGTTTATTTTCAAATGGTTACAGTCTAGGACATTTTAACTTTTTAGGTTTTCAAGAATAAAAACCAGAATGATTTCTAATCTTTCCATTTTCTTCTCTTTTCATTTCCCAGAAGTTCAAATTATTATTGTTAATAAAGTACATTTACTGCCCAAGGATATTAATTCAAACCACTCTCTTTCAATTTTTAGATTTTAAGCAGGAAAAATGTTACAGATTGAAATTACTGCAATAAGAATTGCAATAACAATACTGTACTAGTCTAAATTCAGTTGAAAATCTTAAAAGCGAACAAAATTGAGAAAAAATACTGGCAACAAACATCAATGAAACTTACGTGTTTTGGTGAGCACGCTGAATGCAATTGAAATGGTCGTTATCAGGACTGTACATGGCTGGATATTTGATATTGTACTTCTTGCGGGCCCTTCCTACCTGTAATAATAGTACATAATATTTTTAGAATTTTTATGATTGAATGTTTTTTTTAATATATTGTCACATTGATCTTTTGAAGTATCCATTTCTAATACTAATTTCTAAAACTACTAAAAAGAGACAAATTAGTATTGAACATATAAACATTAAGCTCAATAAATAAATATCATTATAAACAGAACAAAGCCTTTATAAGAAATCCAAAATAAAAGGACAGCTAAGAAGGGGAGAAATATCATTAATAACAACTAGCAGTGGCCTTGGAGAAGGCTGTGGTTTATCACCAGTTCTCTTCAATGAATATATTAACCACTTCATGAGGAATTGGCGGAGGAAGATGAACCAGTGAATTAAAGGAGATAGAAAGATTACCACAATTCTGTATAATCATGGCAATGTAAGGAAAAGAACAAAGATATGTGAAAATTGAAATAGGTGGGAAAATAGTGGAGCAAGTAAGAATTCACTTACCCAGGAAACAGAATCTGTGTACTAAACCACACTCAAGAAGATATCAAGAGAATGCTGCATAATAACTACAGAATGTGTGAACCCATTAAAAGACACTCTGAGAAGAGAATGGATTCTACCATGAAATTGAAACTTCATAACATCACAGCTAAAACAATGCTATATGGTTTAGGCAGCACAAATGACATTCCTAAAGCACCTCTAAAGAGTCATGAGAAGAGACGAGTTTAGAAACAATGACATCAGAAGAAGACTTAAAAACCAAAAATCTAATATGAGAGATTGAAGAACCACAAAAGAGATGAAAAGAACACATTGGTAGGATGGAGAGTAACAAACTACCAAAACTCATCTGGAAACCTAAACCAATTGTTCATGATGACAGATGATGAAATATGATGAAATATAATGAAATATATAAAAGAAAGACAGTTATTATTAAAAGTCATTGTTACTAAGATCATGAGGATACAGAATCACAAACATGAGAAGACATAGAAGTTTTAAATAACACCAATTAGACTGCATAAAGCAATTTCAGACATTTCTATTTTTTCACAATTAATACTACCTAGTTCAAATATGAGTCACCAACATCAATATCAAATTACAAAAAATTAATACAAGGTGCAGGTGTCAAAATACAAAATCTTCTACAATTTACAAAAATGTGAAATTCTTACAATTTCTACTTGTCATTCGTTTCTCACACAGTCTATTAAGTTCTGTAACTCGTGGGTAATGTAAATAATACTTCATAAGTTTCAACACACTCTTAAGTGTAGTACAGGCTAACATCTTTTTTTTTTAATTAAATTTCTACGCAATATCCATTAGTTTTTTCACCAAGTCAAAATTAATCTTTAATAAACACAATTATATTGCTCAGCTTCGAGGGTAATTCGTGTACACAATTTTCTATTATGGCTACATAAATATTCATAAAACACATTCCTTCCCGTAAAGTGTCACTCAAACTTCAACAAACGTGATGGAAATTAGTTACATTATAAAGCCCAACAAGGTAAATAGGTATTACATCACACCATTACATTTCAAGCAGCATTATTTATGACCGATATTAAACTTTTGAAATGCATATTGCAAATATCCAAATGAGTAATGTACTGTAACCAAAGAGTAAGGATGATAACGTGCGGAAATCGCTGCAATGTTTTCCCCCACGAATGAAAAACAAAAAACAAATACGCCGGAGTGCCGGAAATTAATCGTGAGCAAAATCTTCATGGGTTAACAAATACATTTAGCAACAGGGCTGCGTAATTTTCACAATTTTATTAAATAAATTGAAACCTACATTGATTGCTTTCCACATTAAAACAAATGTTGATCCAACAGCGACAAGGACACAATATCCATATTCGCGAGGCACTTCGATGGCAACAGGAGTACTTAATCTGCGAAAAGAAAGATAATTTTGATGTCATGCAGCAGTTTCAAACCATAGATACTCAGAAAACAAATTCGTATAACAAAACGATAACTCACACTGCCATTTTGTACCAAAAATACAACGAACCGCTACGAACTCCCGCGGTGAATTAGCACTTTGACACAACCCGAAGGCTACGGGGGGCGGTGACAGCACGGTGAGAGAATGGAATGCCCGCCCCGAGCGACTTGAACGGGTCTGCAAAAGACTCGCTCGCTCAACCACTTCGAAATTAAGTTCCTGATTGGATAACTGCGTTCCAGTTGGTCAAACGTCAATTCTACTTTAGTTTTAACCGGAATAAATATCGAAAATATAACTTCCCGCAAGAACCGGGCTATTTATAAACATATAGCGTAGCACAGCAATTGTTCCGTCTGTGTTACTGCGTAGAATAGAAAGTTGTACTTTCCATTCTGAGGCCGCATAGTGCATTGATCCAACACATTTCACAGAGTATTTATAGACAGCGCTTGTTTTGAAACCCTCCTTTTTCTCGTGGACTCTTTAGCAGGGAATTACATACTCAGGGCTTACAGAGAAATTACAGATGGTGATTTAGATTTAGATTTATTCTGCAAAAAAACAGTAAAAACTGTATGTGACGAAGGGGGCAAAAGGGAGGTGGATACGGAATCTATAGATATGAAATAGGCACCAGACCTACTATCCTGCTGTTCATGATGATGATGATGAAATATTGAATGCATACCGGTGAGTATTGATGCAATCTAGTTAGGTTCCACCAACTGCATTACTTGAAGTCACCGAAGACTTGATAATAACCCTGGATTGGGGGGAAACAACTCCTTTACTTACGCTTCAGTAATGCCTTTGATCCATTCAATGCCCTCTTCCTAAGTGTAAGAACCTACACTTTTCCTTATCCTTGACTTTGTACTTTTGCATAAATCTGTTAGATAATAATTTAGAAATAGAATACCTTAAAAAATCCAAAATTTGCATTACAAATTTTTAAGTATTGTATGTGTATCAACTAAATAGAGAGTTACTTTTCAATGAGATCATAGTTAATTATGTAAGTCCACAAACACACATTTATACCTATTGTTCTCATCTTTGAACAGATTTTAAATGTTTAATAGAAGAAAATCATCGACCCTGTGGTAGAAGATTATCTCAAGGACCAACAACAATTTGTTCGTGTGGAAAGAGACACTCGCTTATAAAAACTCAAGAGGCGTCCCCCAAGTATCCATCCTCAAGCTTTTCTTAATATAAATATTAATGACTTGCTTGCATCACTCAATTGCTATAAAGGTCATGTGTATGGTGATTGACACACTTATTTTAGCGGAAGACACCAGTAGTGGAACAATCACTGCCAGTGCCGTGTTCACGCACAGGCCCGAAGAGCCCAGGGTTCAAGGGCCCCCGCTAGTACTTAAAAAAAATTAATTCTACCTTTTTTTTAGAAAATAAAATTAAATACGTTTAGAAAAGTGATGTATGATAAAACCATAAACAAAACGTTGCATTGCGAATTGATGTGCCGCGCATCATTGAATAATATTTATAATATGGAATGCTGCTGTTTGATGCCTGATGTCTTTCAATTTGATATTGTACAATTCAATAAAAACAATATTTAATTTGTAGATCTGTTATTCATATATATATATATATATATATATATATATATATATATATATATATATATATATATGTGTGTGTGTGTGTGTGTGTGTGTGTGTGTGTGTAAGAATATATTGAAAATTTGTGTGTTGAAATTGAAACAATAAATACTTTCAAAATATAAAAAATATAATGTGAATTGATAGGATTTTCTTTATATTTCCATATCAAAATGGGGAGGGGGGATCGGTGAAAGTAAGAATGGGGGTCCCCAAATTAACCTTGGCCTAAGGACAACCAATACTGTCAAAACGACCTTCAAAATCAAAGGCGATGGTATTTTGTTTTAAAAGGTTCAATAGCAGAAATTTGAATAACAGAAAATATCTTCTTAGATAAAATGATCATATCCCAATGTTGTGAAGTCGAAAACTTCTTTTCTTTTAATTGCATCTATACAGGCAACGCGTCTCCTAGCTTCTAAGAGCGTTGAGCGCACCTCCTCCATTAATTACTATTATTAGAGTATTCCTCCTTTATTATACGCCAAGTAGCCTCTAAGGGGTCGCTGGGTAGTCAAGTCACGTCAGTCGCGGTCAAGTCAGAGAATAGCCGAAAGGTGGGAGTCTTCGCACTCGCGTCTCGCACGTGAGCAACTTAGAATTTTTTTTTTAACAATAGCCTCCCGTGTGATTCCCGTCTTAAAAAGCTTACGAAGATAGTCTACACATAAATTAATTCTCTTATGGTTATTGGTAAATTGCACCCGGTCGATATTAAAATCCTTGCACTGCACTGGAATCTCGTGTCTTTCTTGACATTCACGATTGTGATGTTGTGAACCCAAGGAGCCCAAAGGGACTCCATTGGAATGCCAGGGTTGCCACGGAATGCCTTGGTTTCACCCTCTCACCCTGGAGTTCAATACAATACCTATTCCGAGCCTATTGATCGGGAGTGGGTTAGCTAGTGGGTGAGTGTTGGAAACCTACACGGAATGTTTATTTATTTGTCAAAAACAGTTACAAACTGTGTGTGACGTGCTATGGGGAGAAGTACATTGAAGTTACATATATGTCCAGAAGCAAAACAAGGGCCCATTTCAGGATTTGCTCGAGGATCAGGGAAACTAGACGAAAACATGATCGAGAGGGATGTTCCCCAAAATACGTAAACAACGTATCCCTATATGCAAAGCAGAAAGTAGTACTAGGAGTAGTTGGGAAACAAACAGGTCCCTCAACTGCCAGGACACACATTCTCTCCGACACGGGTCGCCATGCATGGCAAACACATGGGTTGGCGTTCTGCATACAGTGGGGCCAGTGAAATAGAAGGGGTATAAGAGACACAACGTGAACGATGACGGAAAAGAAAGATGACTGATGAAAGAAAGGAATTCGTGATAGTCCACCCTGCATCCCTCTTAGGACCGACCCACCTTGACAGGTCACGTGGAGATCTATAGCATGTCGTTCAAGTGGTGGATCTCAAGCAAGTTGAAGTGGAGGATCTCCAGCAAGTCGATTATGTGGAGGATCTCATGTAAGTCGATCAAGTGGAGGATCACTAGCAAATCGATCCGAGTGAACGATCTGAATCAAGGCGATAAAGTGAAACACAAGCAGTGTATCAAGTAGAAAATAACCAGTAAGTCGGTCATGTGGATCTATAGCATTTCGATAATGTGGAGGATATCATGAAAGTCGATTAAGGTCAGGATCTTAAGCAAGTCGATCAAGTGGAGGATCTCCAACATGTCGATCAAGAAGATAACCAACAAGTAGGTCTAATGAGAAACCACATCGTATTCATATCAGTGCTTTAAAATCAATACAATTGTCATTAATGCACAATCCGTTTAATTTGCTAAACGTCGAAAATTCTGGCAAAGGCATAGCACATAAGGGACTATTGAAAACCGAGGCGACGGATTCGCAGATGGATTTTTCGGGCCCGAGCCGAGGGCAGAACGCTGCGGTGCCACTGCTGACTCCAAACATTCACCACGTTACCCACTCGGATTCACATGAAATTCCAGGATGGAAAGTGATCCCAGGCGTGTCTACGACTGAGGTCATTATTCCCGTAAGTGTAGTGTTTTTCTTCGAGAAGTGGCGGTGATCTTCCCCCGCTGGGCGAGATCCGGCGCCGACCTACCGTCGACTAACGAGATTTTCCCCAAACAAGTATCTCCCACCAGCGGTGCACCGCCCCAGCCGGGACAAGCTCTAAGCTCCCGTCCAATCTCCCAGCACGTTTTGTAGTGATCTGAATGTTACAGTAAGCGTGTGTAAAGAGGTGAGCACAGAACAAGAAAAAGGAAAGATCGCGCGCGGTCCGATTCGACCAAGTTGACAAGCTAGTGTCAAAAATCCTGCTATCGCCGGAAGTGTAACCCTAGTACCAACCGGTTGGAGGCACTGCAGTAACCGAGTCGCCTACTCCGGTCATGTCAATCTGAGTATTCAGGTCGGTGAGTGCTCCGTGTGATCTCGGTGTCGGTGGGCGACGAGCGTTGATGAAGACGGCGGTCACAGTGAAGTCGATTTTAGTCGGCCGACGTACGTTTGATTCCGATATGACCGGTTCGCTCAAACACGTACAAGTAAAAGGAAATGTAGATATCAAACCCCCAAACGATATCTTCCCACAGCGAAGTTTTATTCCGTTTGATTCTGTCGGTTCCACCCACGGCTGCGTGTCCTCAGCTTTCAAGCTGAATGTGGTTAATTTTGGTTGGAAGAAAGAGAAAGCACTTATTCTGTCATTGTAACTCATCAACGTACTGCAGCCACTACACTGGTAGTCACTGAGCATTTACTCGAGGGTCAGTTTTTTGTCATTTTAAGGAAATTATTATCAATTATTTTCTACAACTAATTTACTGCTTATCTATATTTTTATTGGTATTTGTAATTAAGTATTATTGTTTGTATAATTAAGTTTTTATTATGTTATTTGCTTAATAATCAGAATCCATAATAATATATTATTTTATAAATAATGAGCTTGGCAGTAATGTTTCACGAGATACCTTGTTGATTTATTTCTGAGCAGTCTTTCATTAAACAATAATTATTAGATTGTTGTTAATGAATTAATAAATCAGTCATAACTTGCCCCAACATCTTCAGTATTAGTATTGTTTCCTAAGCATATTGGACAGATTGGCCTAAAGAGACGTTTTGTTTCCTGCTCATGTCCCTGTCCGACCCACCCCAAAACCCTGTGCAGCGCGGCAAGATTTTGGTGAATGAGGCGGGCACCTGCTCACTCACCCTCTAGAGGCGGGTTCCTGCTCACCTAAGCTCTTGAATGGAAAAAACAGAAGCAGGAAAGTTGCTGCAAAATATGACCCAGCTGTCGCCTTCTCCTCTGCTGTCTTGACGTGCCAGGCACGGCTGACTCGAAAGGTGCCAGACTCGACATTGCCAAAACAAGAACAAGTGCTCTCAGACAAGGGTTGCGAGTTAATGTAATGGCCTTTTATTATTATTCATGAATTCATGTAAATACAATCAAGCGGCAGTTGCCTTCTCTCCTTACGCGGATATATTGATCCTTACGTGAGAACCACCGATTAACTTTTTCTTTACAAAGTTTTCCCCTACTTCCGATATTGTGAAGTCGCTACTAATTGGGTTTTCAAACCAGCATATCAGTCAATATCCCTGCCTACCTTCAGACGCCCATTCCTTTGCGAACACTCTCCCGTTTATTTCTCAACAACTAGCGTCCACGGTAACCAACGCTACTTCCCTCAAGTGTCTCTTTTCACAAGTTCAAACTACTCGAACAAATTTGTATTTTCCAACTGTAACAAAGTGTGGCCCAAATTATGTTAATGCGAAATTCTACAAATGAGACCTCTTTGAATCTTCTTGTACATTTTTGGATATTTAGCAACATATTTAGATATGTACCTAGCTCAACAAAATTTGCATAGTGAAGCTACTTTTACATCCTGAAGCAAACGACGCTATCTCAGCATTTGCTCAAAGGAGCAAGAAAACTGGGCAAAAAACCTGATCAAGATGGAGTCATTGATCTTGCTGTGCTACAGATTGCTGACCTCGATTGTGCTTGCTGGAGTCTACTGTTATTGGGTTTTGGAGTAAAGGAATAAAACAATAAAAAGTTTGATTTCTTTCATTTTAAAACACTCCTTTTCAATAAGAAAATACAAGTAGAATTTGCTCAATATTTTAGTTTTTAAAACTACTAATATATATTAATATTTCTTGCAGAGCTAAATATACACATAAAATATGACACACACGGACCATAGAAACAGATTGCTATTGGTATGCAAAATGTAACTCATCACAACCATTTTAAATGATGTAACATATCAAGAATTAAATAAATCACAATAAATTTTCTGTCAATATATATACATTTCTAAGCATACAAATTTAATTTTAGTAAACACAGCTGAGCCATAACTACTCGTAAGTTTAAATCACTTCGCGTCACCTAACAGGAGCAAAGAAAGCTGTTATGCTTTTCATTTTCTTGTCTGTGGCAGGGACATTCTGTTTAGTTCCAGGTCTTCCTCTCTTGCGCTTCCCAACATCTTTTCTGGGAGAATTCCCTGGTGATTTATTAACACAAGAGGTATTTTGGGGAAGTGGTACTTTATTGATTTCTTTATCTAAATCTGTAGCCACATGAAAATCTAGATGTTCCGGATACTCTTGCAGAGAAATAAGTTGGTTACAATGTGGACAAAGTTCTTTGAGAATTTCTCCAACTTCCAAAATTTCCTCACTGTCAGAAGCAGAGTTTTCAAAAATAGAATGAGCATCTTGCCTTATTGGAATGCAGTTTAGCTCACCTGAATTACATGTTCTCCCATTAGAATTTTCATTAGATTTGTTTGGTTTGCTGTGCGTTTCCTTCCTTCCAATGTTAGATGAAATATGTGGAAGTTCAGTAACTTCCACATCACTTTTTTCTTTAAGATCACTTGAATCACTAGCAAAAATGTCTTCTTGGGAAACATTTGGATAAGACTCTTCTTCATTTCTCTTCTCTGCCTGTTCAGACAAATCACAGCTTTCCTTTTCTTCTGAGGCTGCTAAGACATCATTTATAATTGTTTTAGTGTGATTAAACCCAGTATCATTATTATCTGTAACAGCAGATGTACCAATTACATTGAACTCCAAACACTTCCTACTTTTTCCTTTTCCGCAACCTTTATTTTTTCCAACATTTTTGGCTTCTTGATGTTTTTGGATACGAGTACGAAGCTGTCGTTGTAATGGAGAGGGTAATAATGCTGCTACATCATCATCTACTTCATCCAAATTGGGAAAGATTTCTCCAGGACTCACCCAATGCTCTATTGGTTTGTCAGAATCATTTGATGATTCATCAACTTGTAAAAGACGCAGAGCCCTGTTAGTGATTCCTGCAATCCCTTCTGATGTAGTGGCTTGTTGACTAGTACCTGTAGGTTCTTGTTTGTCCCCTTTCCCCTCGTGGCTGATTTCGTTTTTATTATCATCTGCAACTTTCTCCACTTTGCTTGATGAAGGAGTTTTTATCAATCCTTCTTGTTTAAAAAATCTTAAGAAAAAAGACTTTTTGCCTGATGACTTCATATTTTCTTCCTTGGGAGCATTTTCAGGGGTTAAAGGGTTTTCATTTGATTTAACAAGTAAGTTCTCATGAATTGTTTGGCCACCTTCCACAAGGCTAATCTCTTTTTCTTTTGGTGCTAACTTGAAAAAGTTCTCTATGGTTTTGCTTTTTGAATCTTTCTCAATAAACTTGCCTGCAGACAAACCTAAAAATTTCAGTGGAGGATACCTGAAATCAATACCAGTAAATTAGTCCTGTGAATCATTTGATAACATGAACCAACCACATTAAAATCAGTTTTTATTAAACCATGTTCAATTTTAATTACTAACATTTTCTTTACTGTAAATTTTAGAAGAAATATGAGAGATTTCATAGATAAATAACAGTTTGAAACATCTGTAAGTCTTTGAAATGTCAGCATTTTATACTTTCAAGAATTGAAGTCAAATAAATCACATGGAAAATAATTTAGTTCAAGTTACATTGGTAAAACATACTAGTAACTGAAATAATATATTAATTATTGTTTAGGAACAGAAAAAAGGACTACAAAAACAATGTGAGAAGGGGGAGTGATAAAGCAATGAATTACATTCCCACACAATTAATTTAACTTTCAGAAGCAGATTTTTGTGAGATTTGTAATATCTTAGACATTGATATTACGGCAAAAGACGAAATGATCTCTGATGTGTCATTATTTGACAAATCCGACAGAATTAGTGACGAAAATTGATGATGATAACGAGAAAGACAACAACCACGAGGGCGAAGAATCCAATGGCCACAATAAAAGTAATGACAAAATAGAACAAAAATTAAGAGAAATCACAGCTGAATTCGAAAAAAGATTGAGTATTTTGAAAAAGAACAAAGATGAAGATTCCGGGTCAGGCAGCAAGAGTGAGGCGCAGTGAGTGTCTTCACATCATCAACCATGTTTCATGTTGACATTTCGAGTTGTAGAGAGCGCAGCGAGACCGTGGCGACAACGGATCCCCGATTAAAAAATTGATTCAAGTTAGAGGCTCAGGGTTGAATATTAATAACAAAAATATTTAAAGAATTGATACAAATCATGTCCAAAAGCAGATAAGAATACGTATGATAATTCACATAAACGGACAGGACATAAATACCAGATTATAAAGAGTCTGTGCTGTTCCTTTCATCACATTTTTTAACCTTTCCCGGGCAATCAAATTTACTAATGCAAACGGACTAGGGGCAAAGGGATTATGCTTACAGATGTACTTTTTGGACGGGAATAATTAAACAGAAAGTTCTAATATATTTATTTAATTTAACAAAACCTTCAAAATACTTTAAATTGGACTTTAAAACATTTTTTCTTTTATTACAGATTGCACACACTGTTTACCTGAGTATGTTCATTACAGACAAGCTTTGAACAGATGCTACACCTCTTTGTGTCCTACTTCATTTTCAAAGGCACAAATGACATCTTTTCTGGTATTGTTATAAATTTTCTGAGTAGTGGGAGCTGTTTCTTCTCTAACAATGTGGGTGATTGACAGGCAAAACGTATTATTCAATCCTGTTTGACTGTCTCCTTACATTTTGTGTATGATCCAAATCCTTTACAATATCAGCAATAAATAATCATTTGATCACATGTTTTCTAACATTTAGTAAGGATCAGCAACAAAGCTGTCGCTGTGCATTTTCCCCGCAAAACCTGGACAACACACAACTTTAAAAACTCACTATCCTGATCCTCATCAACCTGCAATAAACACTGTCTACGAAGCCATTATTCTTAGAAACGCTCACATTTAAATATCATATAACATCAAATTGAAACAACACTGCGCAACCCAACATCTGTCCATCCCTTCAACACAAAAAATGGTCATCAAGTAATCGACTAAACAAAACAAGAAAATGCAATAGATTAAGGGACCAAGGGCCAATGGACCCCGCTTGCCTGGTAGTGGCTGAAAAAAGATAAAGATTTTTTTATTTATTTTTCAGTAACGGTTCTGTAAACTGGTTGCAGATGCAATTAAAAACAAAGCCACAAAAATCTACCCCAACTCCTGCCATACTTTTCATGTACAATATTGGAAATGTTGCTGCGGGGTCCAATGGAACTCAGTTGCCCAGATAAGGGTTAATTAAACTTGTAATAGACTGAAATTCAAAAAATTATGCATGAGAATATTATTTCTTAGAAAGGAAGTTTTTAAGTGTTTTCTTTAACTTTTCTTGCATTCTAGTTACTTAAATACATTGATTTCATGCAAATATTCTTGTGTTGACAGAATGCCAAAAATAATAGAAAGTATCACAGATCCAAAGTAAACCAAAAGACACTCCAAAGACTGAATAGACCATATCAACATTTAAATAAAGTTTTTTTTCTGTCAAGAGTGCAAAGCTTACTCACCACACTGCACTTTCACTAGGGGCAGTGTTGCTTCTTTTCAGCAGTTCCATTGCATCCAACACCATTTGTTTTGGTTCAAGAGAGACAAGGGGACCACAACGTGAAGCAGAAACATCACGACCATCAATTGTCTGCATGTAGGAAACAACGAATTGAGAAGCTCTTCGATTGCCCTCAGAGAGTTCTTTTTCTAGTCTCTCTCCCACTTCTTCTGCAAGCTCACTAAGCCAGTGTTCAACCTCAGAGGAAAATAATTTAAAAAATCAGATATATAACAAAGAAATACAAATAAATGTCTCTGTATGTATATGTACACACATACACATGTACATGCTCACATGCACGCACACTTACATACACATATATACACAGAGCCTCACACTCGGTACAAAAAATGTCATCGCATATGATTCATTATATCTGGCCAAGCCCATTGCTATGGTATTTTGTTCTGTAACCATTGTGCATGTTTTGTTTTGGAAGGCAGGGATCCCTGCTGGAACATGAAATCTGATGCCGACCCACAAATCAGCTCGTAGGTATTTCCCTCACCAGGTATCACCACCAACAGGAGCATTGCTCCAATTGCGATAAGCTCTAACCTCCTGACTGGTCACCCGACATGTGTGATAATGTTACTGCAATGTGTGGGCTTATGTTTGTGTGTGTGTGTGTGTGTGCACGGGGGACAGGAGGGGTCAAGACTGAGGAAGGAAAAATAGCATGTGGTAGTGGTCTGTTTGTTAGGGTACTGCTCCATCTTTCACTTGATATTGGTTGGAGAAACCATGACACTAGAGCAGCCTGCCACTAGAATTCTCCTTGAATTATTGAATTTAACCTAGCTATTTGGCCAGTGTCAAAAATCTGCCATCAATCAGACTCCTACCACAGGACCTCCCAATCGAGGATGTGCAGAGACAACTAATGTAGCTATTGAGCCACTACTTCATTGCAAATTTCCACTTTCTTATTGTTGTTTATCTTGTCAAATAAAGTATCTTCTGAAGAATTAATGTAAAAGATAAAGAAGTGAACTCACTGTTTCCTTGGTATTTAATGCCAATTTTCCTGGAAACTTTTTGCAGCAACCAATAGATTTTGATGTTAACTTACTAGTAACAGCTTCATCATCAAAACCTTGAGCTATGTTAAACAACCAAGTGCTGAAATTAAAAAGATTGTCAACTCCAATCTCATTCAACTACATTACACTCCACATTATACTTAAAATCCATGAGCCAATGGCTACAAATAAAATTTACCCTGATTTTTCATCAAATATTTTTTGTAATTGTGCTTCAGAAAACTGTTGCAATTCACCCATATATGTAATATTCAAGCGTTGCATTACCATATCTCCAAATTTGCCCCCAAGACCTCTTATCTTTTTGAGAGGAAGAGTGTGATACAAAATGGGAACTCCAGTTTGTGGCAAGATGGTCTGTCGCTGAGGCTTATGTATTCCACAAGCAAGTTTAGCCAAAATCTGTCAAAGATAAATGAATTAAAAATACTTAATTATTCATTTTGTAAGTGAAAGAAAACAATTTAATGCAACAAAATTCTTCAAAAAGTTGCTATTAAAAATTCCAGCAAGCTCAGAATTTTAAATTAAATAAAATGAATAAAAATAGGTAATTTTTAAAGGTACTTTTTACAGGCATACAAGTCATTTAAATGATTAAAAGAAAGGAGGAGGACAACTGGTAAGGTCTGGATGAACTATATTGTTAATAATCACTAAAATACATATTGAATTATTTCAAATGCTATTATAAACATAAATTTGGATTAGTGTTAATGATTCCTTATATTAAGAATAATCAATATGTAACACTACAGATTTAAATATTCATTTACTTTTTACATATTCATACATAACGTTTTGGGATCGTATAAGATCTCTTTAGGTGAGCTTGTGGAATTATATCTTGCGAATCAAATTGCAAGTAATTTATACAAGTTAGTATTCCAATATATTAATAATTGCAGCATACCTGAAAATTGGATAAAAAATAAATATTTTTTTAAAAAAATTCAACATACTTTGTTATGAGCAATTCCAGCAGAACACCGGAAACCAGTGGTTTCATACACTGCGGCCCGCATTTCCTCAACAAGCAGGGCAGCTATTGTCAGTTTTTCAGCTGTTTCATCCTGTAGCTCATCCTGATAGACTCGATTGAGCCAGGTCATCACACCTTTCTTTCTGTCTTCTGCAATGAGAAAAGCAAACAATGACACAAATAAGTATTGTACCTGTGATTATAATGAAATATTTGAAAGGGAATATAAAATTTAAAGGGAAATATAATGTTTCAGTGTATGAAATCAATGTTTGATCTGTGTTTAGATACTCAAGTCTAATAATATCATTTGTCAATATTTTTCTTTATTAAAATAAAAAGAGATGAAAAACTGTGTATGATCTTTGGGGAAATGCAATCTGTGCACATTTTCTTGAGTTCTGTAATTACAGAGACTCAGAGAGTAATTACAGAAACAAATTATTACCCATTTGCAATGCATTGCAACATTATTTGTAATTACAACATAATGTTGAAGGAATCATATTCATCACATGTCAGTGTCATCAGCTCATTACAAGAAACTCACATATAATACATGTAATTTACTTTACAACACATTTCCAGAAGTCAATAAACAATTAAAATTAAAACAAAAATTTAGATGCCTATACTGTCCATGAAAACTTATACTATAGAGACTATACTGCCCACAAAAAAGAATAATAATATTTTTTTAGCAATGATACATAATGCATTAGTTAATGTTTTTACAGAATAATCTTAAAAACACATAATATATCTGTAACAAGTAATGCACTTGGATTCTGGGTCCATGACTCCAAACCCATCTTGATCAGGTTTTGCATCCAGTTTCCTTGGTTAATATATTGCCGGTATAATATTTCTGTTTACTTGATAACTGGGGGTGGGGTAGAGTAATGTTGCCACTTACTCAGGTGCCACACACATGGTTGTATATTTGTTCTTGCATCAGATCACAACAGTTTCGCTATGTAAAATCAGGCATCAATTCAATTCAACAGTATCAGTAGCAGCAGTAATGAGAAACAATCGCAATGAGAGCACACAACAGTCAACGACACAGAACCTCACACACAACGCATCACCAAACAAGTAATGGCGCTTTTCAATTTTCAGTTTCTTCATACCGTAAGTTTTTTTTTTTAAATTAATGGCAACTCTTCAATGGCATCATCAGAATTTGAATGACTTTGATTAGATAACGAAACTCCTAACCCCTGTCAGCTGCAAGCTGTCAAGTAAACAGAAATCTTACCGTATTCAGATAATAGCAATGCTGAGATGGCTCATTGTTTTGCTTCAGAATGAAAACTTCACTTCGTACAAATTTATTGAACTCTCCTTTTGCTAGTTGTGGCAGGAGTAAAGCCAAGAGTGTGGGCTTCTATTTTGTTAGCAGTACTAAAATCTCAAATCTATAGTTTGTTTCCTGAGGTAAATAGGTTTTCTGTAACCCGGAAGCAAAAATTTCAAGTTGATCAAATCTTGCTTTGTCTGTACTCTTATTCATCATACAACTATGTTTAGTAAACGGATGAAGAATAGATTCTGAAGCTCAAAAAAGGGCGCAAATTCTCCACCATACATATAGTTTTAACTCTTCTTTGATGAAAATACATCAAATCCATCTATGTACTAAAAGAACTAAACATATCAAAATGAATAATACAAATAGTTTTATAATTAAGTAAGTACTGCAAAGAATCAAATAATTTAAATAATCCACAAAAATGGAAATGCAGGCAGCCAAAATAGCATGCAAACAAAAATAATAAATATAACATGTACAAGCAATTAATAAATCTTTTACCTTCATCATTTGAATCCTCTGGAGAAAATCCCACGATAAAAGTACTTTTGAGTTCATCTGACTTCACATGTGTCCCTTTAAGCTCTTTGTATCGAGCATTAACAGTTTGAGTAATATCAAGGTATGCTTCATCCACACTAGCTCTCTGCACAGTATCACAGAAACGACATAAAACATCCACAACTTCACGTCCTGCTTCTCGATATCTATTAAGAATACACAAAAATAGAAAGTTGTAAATAATATACATTAAATCATCTGAAATTTTGAGAAATTAACACACTTACCTAGTAAGGTCTGCTTTGCCTCGAATAGATGGTACATGCACCAATTTTATTTGTGGGCATTTTTTCTTTGCTTCATTGCCACGAATATGCCTGGTCACACCAAACGCCCGTGCTTCATAATTCACGGCAATAATACTAAAACGTAAGTCAAAGAATTATTGATATTTAATCTATGAGAAACTGCAAATTGAGCTTTCCAATTACACCATACTAACCCCCCTCCCTGCCACTGATTATACTGCACCACAGCCATAGGTTTTCCTTTGAGACTAGGATCATATCGTGCTTCCACTTGACAGTAGAAGCAATCCATGTCCACAAGGACAATAATCCTGTCACTCATTTTTATTAATTCATAAAAAACACTAATATAAATAAATATTTAACCTCATAAAAAAGCTATGTCCAAAAATAAATTCATCGAATCAATACATAATAAAATATAAAAAACTGCAAATTAACATTATATTTACTAAAATATATGACCAGTCCTGATATGAAAAGCAGTGAAAAGATTATAATAAACGACCCACAACATGACAGAACACGCAACAACCCGCCATATTATTTGTATGGAGTACCGTAATCGAACCACAAAATATACCACAAATAAAAAATAAAAATTATTGCTGAAAATAATTGTATGATTCATTGACATATTTTATACGGAAGTATAAAAAATTACAGAGAAATAACTTAGTAAAAATTATGTTTCCTTAACAATATACAAATATCACAGACTTATGTCATAAGTCATATATACTAATGAAGTTGTAAGCACTGTAACACTAGGTAACAGTTGACGAACTATCGTGCAACATTGGTGCATCATTTCTCCCTAGCTCTGTAGGTTTTGAGTCATATTTCATTTCACAAGTGCAATATAAAATGAGATGCGAAAGTCGGAATAACGAAATAAGAGTAATACATGCGAACGAATCCTCCATGAAATATGATATAAAATACAATTCTACATATTAAACAAGAGACGATCAAGATAATGATCAATGAAAGTCAGAGAATAATCATTTGTTCTAGGAAATGTTAATGTCTCATCAGACGTCAATCGTCGATGTAGTGTACTTGGTGTGGTGCACTGTACCATAAGTGAATTAATTACGGATCGTACGAAATCTGTACGCATTTCTTTAGAAAATAGTGTTAGAGGAATCAATAAAAATTGTTTATACACATAACAATTGCCATCTTCGACGAGCAGAGATGGATAACTGTGAAAGTGGCGATGACTTAGGAAGCGGTTTTATTACAGTAGATTCCCAAAATTATATGGTTCAAGAAGAACTGGAAGGTAATCCTTCATGAACTTCATCTATTGTTTACATCTGCCCTTACGTTTTCAAAAGATGAATACACTACACTTTGTTGTTTTGTAGATGATCCTGATACAGTTTTGACGGGAGAGAATACAGATGATTCTAATCAAGGTAGCAGTGACAAAACAGGATGCCCTTTAAGGGAACAAGATCGCTTCTTGCCTATTGCCAATATAGCCAAAATTATGAAACGGGGAATTCCAGAGCCTGGAAAAATTTCCAAAGAAGCCAGAGAATGTGTTCAGGAATGTGTGTCAGAGTTCATAAGTTTCATAACAAGTGAGGCTAGTGATCGTTGTCACATGGAAAAGAGAAAAACTATCAATGGCGAAGATATATTGTTTGCAATGACTACTTTGGGCTTTGATAACTATGTGGAACCCCTCAAGTTGTATTTGCAGAAGTACAGAGAGGTGCTCATTTTGTGTATTCACTAAAATGAATAATTATGGCCCAGTAACTTACCTTAGTTCATGTAAATGTCACTTGTAAATTAATTTTCCTTAATGTTCGTGCAGGCAGCTAAAGGAGATAAAACTCTGGGATCTGCTGAAATATATGAAGAAGTGTCTGATGAAGCTTTCAGTAAGTATTGATTTTTATTAATAGAATATGCTTTAGCTTTTTAGAGATGTAAGTAATAAAAGATATCTTATGAATTTACCTACCATTTTATTTTAGGTACTCAAGCAATAGCAGGCAACATCTTAACTACTGACCCAACGGGCCAAGCTACGGAAACTGTAATTTATACATATCCTGATCAAATTACACACTTTCAATTGACATGAGTGTTTTGCGCTTGAAGAAGAATAATTGGTATTTGTGTGAATGTGCAGGTCTTGAAAAAAGTATTTGTATAACAATTCATCGAATTTGAATGCTTTGTGGGCATATTGTCAGTAGGTTATCTGTAATTATAAATTGAGATAATTCTTTTTTGCTACCTTCTTGCTTTTAAAAATTTCAAGATGATATTCTCACAAAAGTGATATTTTCAGATTCATATATGTTTTATTACAGTTATATTTTTGTAGTACCATACTTTATGAATTTCTATTTTTTGTTGTATGCTTTGGTTCAGATTTGATCCCAAGTTGTTCACACAACAATATTGTGAATACTACAGAAATGAGAATGGATTGTCAAGCCTTTTGTGGTAATGATTCCTTGAGTGCTCTAAGCTATTTTTAATACCACTTGATAGTGAACTATTCTTGTAGAAAATATTTTGCTGCATGCTAATTTTTATTCCCTGTTTCCAGTACTCAGTGGTTTTTGCTAACATGATAAATTTAATTTAAAGTTATTTCGGAGTGGGATTAATATTAATTACTGAAAAATATTGAGGAAATAATGTTGTTTTTTTTATTTCAAAAGGATTTATGTGCTTTTCTTTTCATATTTTTGAAAAGATATCATTTTACTTTTGTAAAATTCTTGAGACATTAAAATTCAAAGATATAGGAGTCATTTTACTTGTGAATACCCAAATAATTGAAAAGAATACTATATAAATAAAAATTATATTGATTAATACATTCATATTTTAGAAGTATTTGAATCAATGTTTCATATGTATTCATAGGTAATGACAAGAGCAGCAGAGCAAGTTTCTTCTTACATGATGTATTTTTTTCTTAAATAAGATTATTCAACAATTCATCTGTGATACAAGTTAATAAGTAACCATCTTTCAGCGGTCAATAGCATTTCTGCTGCAACTCTATATAAAAATAAGAGACTGGAATAACCAAGTACAATATCAAGGATTTTGGAAATGAGAGATGTAGCAAAGTGTAGTTGCTTGTGAACACTGGGGGAATGTATTAAGTGTTAAGAATGTATGTTTATTGAGGCTAAGCTCACTCTTGTTGTTTTTACAATTTTTTTTGTCTGATATTATACCTTTTTCTTTTATATTTGTTTTGTGTGGAATTAACACATGGAATGACATGTTATTGCAGTAACAAACAAGCTTTATAAGTAATATGAGTCTAATGAGCTACCTTAAATAATATGAGAAAATGTTCCTAAAATTTCTTTGACATTTATTTATGATTTGTTTCTTGTATGTTTCAATAGGTTAATGTATTTTATATACAGCAGAGTGTTTCAAAAGAGGTAATACAAATTTGAAGTTAAAAATATTAATGATCTTTTTCTCAACCTGTTGTTGGCAGGTTCTAGTGGTCTGTGGTACAATTTTTGTAAGCAATGTGAGATTACAAATTATTGTTTTATTGTGACACTTTATGCTGAAGGATATAAGTGGATTCATTACAAATTGAAGGATAATGCAATAACCTTCTGAATTTAAGATCATGAGTAATCCTCAAGTGGTGAATATTCAGAAATGTCCTAAACACAGGAATTTTTTTCAAACCTTGGGGTATAATTTTTCAAATTCTGTAAATTTTGGTTCCATATACTGCTAAATGAGCAGTGCTTCTATTAAGGCATCAACATACTGCCAGATATGGAAAGTACTCATCTAATTTTGTTTCAGAAAGAATGGCAGAACTTAATAATGTCACAACTTTTAGACGTTTGATTTTGTGACAATTTTTTAAAGTTTGTTATTCAATATGTTTACTTCTCAAAATTGTTACTACTGCATTTGAAACGTATGTTTCACCAACTGTATACCAACAATAGTCTTCAACCATTTCTCCATTATTAAAATAGTTTGGACATGTGTACAATAATGTACGTTTGAATGTTTGTCCACTGTGGAATAATTTATCACTATATGGTGTGTACCATGTGTATGTCAGACTGATCTTGAAATCTCTTTCTACCAAAGTATTACATAGATATAAAGTAAGTGCAATACCATTTCATTTCATATTTCATAATTTGTTTAAAAAATATATATATTTATTATAGCATTCAGAGCAAAAGTATTTGTATTTTTGAAAAAACCTTTCTTCTACCTCCTCTTCCTGTTACACAAACATTTTTTGGTCAAAAAGCGAGAAGAACTGAATGAAGAACTCTGTGGTTTAACTAAATACCTATGAAAAGCAAGTACATTTGCAAAACACAAGAATGAGCTGCTTGAAGGCTGGCAGAATTTGAAATAATTCTGAATGCGTAACATAATGAACTTAATTTAGAGTTTAATTTTGTTACATGTACATTCCATTTGAAGTTTAACTGAATTGAGAGACCTAGAAAGTTTGTTACCTAAACATCAGCTAATTGCTTTGAATAATTATTCATTTTCAATGGAGCATGCAATTGCTGATTTGAAATGCAAACATGAATTGAAACTTTTTCCTTCATTAACCATTAATTTGTTATTACAAAACCAATTTGAAACTTCTAAAATCGTACTATTTATTGTTTCTTTTCTACAAAAAACATTTGTACCATCGGCAAACAGAACCGTTCGTCCGTTTTTAATAGACGACGGCATATCGTTTACGTATAACAAAAAGAGAAGAGGACCTAAGATCGAACCTTGCGGAACCCCATATTCAATTTGTAAAGATTTGGAAAGATAACTAAATAATGTCCTTTCGTGCCTGTACGGTGTTTTCCCATGTATTTAGAATATTGAAAACTTTTGTTCTCGTATGGGAACAGCGGACCTAAACGGGTTAATAATTAAATCACTTGGCACGGTGCGGGCATTTAGCGCGGTACCTGATCAGCCTAGCCCTGCCCAGCCCGACCTACCCTCTTTCCTCCGCCGCCCCCGCCGCACAGTGGTTGATTTCCAGAATCCAGCGGTATTTAAATCAAAAATACATATGCTTGAAACGAACGTTGTTTGAAAATTGTCAGAATTATTCTTGTGCCAATTTTTCCGTTATTTTGTAAAGGGGAACGAAATATAATAATTAAATCATTGCCCTCGAGTCTTGAACCATAAAGGAATTGCCAAGGTTATCAATGTTGCAAACCTCCTTAAGAGATACTCCATGCAATTTGCTTACTCATACTAAAGGTTCATGAGACCTAACCCTTCAAAATGAAGTAGTATAATTCTAATTCATACCTAACAGTGCAAAATTAAAACAAATTATAAAAGTAATAAACAACTAAAGTTACGATAGTAGAAGCTAAGACTCTCTGAATCTGCTAATTCTACCTTCACGTGAACATCATCACCGTCCACGGAACAATACACAACTTCAATCCTTCCGTCCGGTTTCTGATTACTCAGGTTGATGTCACCAAATGCTTTCTTATTAACAGATTCAGAAAGAATCATAGGAATGAAGCATATCTTCATTGCCGACGTAGCTCTAGATGATTTTTTTGGTACAACTTTCTCGACGTGACTTTTTGAAGTCTTTGTTCGAACTCCTGCGTGTCTTCGAACAGTTTTGCCTATTGGACAATTCATTTCATTAATGACATCAGCGTCATAAATTAATAATTTTGTGCATGCTTGAGATAACCATCGTATAAACTGACCTAAACGTTTATTGTTTCAAATGCGTTTTTTTCTGAAAAGCAATCCGTAGTCCACATCACACGCCGCTCCTCTGCACTCCTTGGTAAAACAAGCAGAAGCGGCGAGCGAGACTTCCATCTATGCCCAGTGATGTTAGTATAGCTGTCTAGATTTTGAAACAACTGCCAAAACAGTGTTACCATCGTTCGATTGTACCACTTCGCTTGTTTTGGGATGCAACAAAAGTAGTTCCATTTTTCTTGTCGATATTTTGAGAATTATTTGCGTTTTCCTGGGACTTACAGTATCTTTTCTTCAAAATCCATGAACCCGCCATTTTCCATAAAATATAGTCTGTTAAGACATGTCAACGAAGGGTCCTGCGAAGAAACGAATTTTGGCCGTGAAAAGACGCAACATAAAAGATTCATTGCGGCAAAGGTTTTTAAAATTAAATTTATTTAAGAATTCCTTCACTTTTCTATGGAGATGTATCATAAATAAGAACTTAATGGAGAGGCTGCTTTAACATCCAGTGGAATACAAACCAAAAACAACTTTTTTTTTCCCTCATATATTTTCAAAAATTTTTGTGATATACAGATTATATTGCACCCCAATATTCAATTTTGATGGCTTGCAGCTTCTTTCTTAATGTTTTCTTCTAAACGAGCTACTTCTGCATTTGTGCTATGGTGTTTGTCACCTTTCAGCGAATTTGAATTTAATGGGATTTGTAAAATCTGCGGCTGTACTTTTCACCTTTTGTTCCCCTCAACATGAATAATTAATTCTTTTTCCGTG